AATTTAAAGGCATAAAAAAAAGAGTACAACTCCTCTCCCTACATATATATACATATACATATACATATACCCTCTCTCTCTCTCTCTCTCTCTATATATATATATATATATATGTATATTTCAGATGTATGTAAAAGCTTTTTTCATTATCAATCATGGAGTCATCTACTGTTGATTAAGGTCTCAGCTTGTGATTGAGCAATTCGTAGAAGTGCTTGGAGCTGCATTTAATTAAATAAATAATTAAATTTACGAAAATTTTGTTTAATCAAGAGAATATATTTGTATGTATGTATATATATATATATATATAATTAAATTAATAAAATGAACTTAGTGAAATTAATTACCTAAAAACCTCATTGTCTCTGAACTTTTGATGAGCCGAATACGTTTGCAAGATTCCATGAATATACTGCCATCGTAAGTTTAATAGTTTATTGGATTAGATTATCATATTTGTTCAAAATATAATAAACAAATTATTTATAAAAATAAAAAAAAAAAACTAAAATGATTAATTTATTGTAATTTTATTTAAAAAAATAGAAAGTAAAATATATAATACATAATAAATGGAGCCAGCCAAATCTATAAGAAAACAAATGATCAAATAAAAGTTAAAGGCATACATACTTTTTATATTACAAATTAATAAATAGAAAAAAAATATTATGGGACCATAAAAATAATTTAAAAAATCAATTCAAGATTCTAATATAATAATTAATTAATTTGAATTGAAATTAGTGGGTTTATATATATATATATATATATATATATTAATAGAAATAGAAAAAAGAGACTTACTTCCAAGGAACATCCCCAACTAACATGCTGTCCCCATCTTTGTCTTCATATATGACCATATATTCCACTCCCTTTGCATCCCCTAACTCACCTGCATTTCAATTACCAACTACCTTAATTTTATTAAAAATCTCAACCAAAAAAAAAAAAAAGCTTATGGCTTTATTTCAAATTATAAATTTTTTCTACTACCCAAAAATAAACTTGTAGAATTTTCTCTGACTTTATATATTTTTAATTAAATACATATTTATTTAATTGAATAAGACTCTCATGAGTTTATTTTAAAATAATCAAATCCTGAAATTAATTTAAAAATTGACATTTACTTACTAAGAATCTGATCTAATGAAGTTTTAAAATAATTTAAAAGTTGGAATCTTGTTTTCTTCACAACCAAGTTTGATCGTCCCAAAACTTTTCGCCATCTTTAGATTTTTCAAAAGAGTGGATGACGACGCATATGCCCTTATAATTACCTCCCGTAAAATGACATATTTGCCCCCTATTAATATTAATTATACATATTTATAATTATATTTTTTTATATTTAATAATTCTTATTTTACCTTAATTTTTTACAGGTATAGGAAAACCTAAAAAAAATATATATATTCTAATTGTATACATTAAAATTAATATTTAGTACAAAGTTTTTTCTTTTTTGAAAATTATTTAATACAAAATTAAACTAACATTACTTGGAACTAAATACTAAATAAACCAATCATGCATTAAGTTTGAAAGGTCCAGCCCAATTCAACCCAACTGAACCAGACAGGCCCGTAAACTACTCAAATCCGAATCATGACTCTACAGATCGTCCATGTACACACACATACTGACTGACTTTTTTATTATATTTAACTGAATGAAGAAAAATGAAACAAACAGAAAAAATCTTAATAAAATTTGAAAATTGAAAATAATTGTGTATATATATATATATATATATATATATATATATATATAGAGTAATCACCGGTGGTGGGAATGGTGCAAGTGAACAATTGCTGAAGAGCCGTGGAGAAGCCTTGATAGCTACCGTATAGCTGGAGGTCTACTTTGCGTAGATATGGTGCTCCATCTATCGCCACCTTGACATACTTACACCCCCCTACAACTCTTCTCCTGTATGATCTCACCGGTGGCCACCCCACCTGGTCCTGTGCTCTAATCATTTCAATAAACCAAGATATTACATATATTATACGTACACCATAATATATATATTAGTATACACACGTCAAGTCAGATCATTTCAGTTTATATAAAATACTACACCTACCTCCCAAGCTTGAGATCAACGGTCTCGATGAAAACTCTCTTGCCGTACGTTCTTCCGGAGGTGATGGACCGTGGACACCCTTCGCCGGGTAGTCCCAAGGTTAGCTCCGTCTCCTCATAGTTGGCGCTGGTGACGTCACTCTCCGGCGACTCCCGCTTCATCTTTTTTGCAATACGGTGCGTTTCGCATTTACAGAACGGAGGGGGGAAAACTGTTGGCTATATTTAAAACGGTTAACAGTTATGTTTGCTCTTTAGATTTGTTGTTGCGTGAGAAGTTGAATATAAAGCAGTGCGGGAAGGTTGTACGGAGAGTTGTGTATGAGGTGTCAGCCAATGGGAGGATGACACGTGGGGAGATGGATTCAGTTCAGTGTATGTAGAATTGCAGAGATGGATAGATGTTTGGGAAGTAGCATAGGAGTTTGGGCCCACCTGTCGGTTCATCCAATTTCAATCCAATCAGGGTCAAATCAAGATGAACCAAACCCACTTCTCCTGCTTTTTTTTTTTTGTTGTTTTTATTTTTTTTGTGAAGAGAATCAGATCAATCAAAAAATTAAAACGTGTTAAAATCTTGATTTGGTAATATTGATTATAAAGTTAATTGGTTTATTTTAAACATATAAAATTTTTTATATTAATTCCTCGTGGTTTTCTTTAACCAGATTTTACTCCCTAATACTAAATATAATAGACATGTAAAATTAACTTAAAATTAGCCTGATCAAATTATTTTATTTAGAATTAATGCTAAAATTATCATAATTAAATTATGTTTATCGTTTAAACCAATGGAACCTATTTTTGTTACCTAAAATAAGGATTATGAATAAATTTCTATGCCCTTGATACACTGTTTTGATGGAGTATGAATGGAATATGTGACTAATTTAGCATGAATAAAGTGTGTTTCCGATTATTTACTAACTGGGCAAAATATTACACTAAGTGTCTACCACCTTCCCAACTTGTTAATCTTTGCAAAGTTAAAGATTTGCATCCTCCAATGTGATAAATAAATTGAAAAAATAAAAGTTTTTTGTTTAGTCAGGGTTCATAATAATCCATCTTTGAAATTCCTAGCCATGTTATTCTATTAAATTCATAACCACCAAACATGGCATAAACTTATATTTCCCATTTTATGCAATCACTTGGCGCATTCATAATTATAGTTTCCAAGGAGTTAGTGTCACTTAGTTCAAGTTCAGCGGTCAATCTCCTTAATTTGAAATATAATTATTTAGAGAATTGAATCATCTTCACAATATAAAGATCCGAAACTTAAAGTAAATAAATTTATATTTTTAAATACAGAAGCGAACAATAAAATTATATTTTACATTCCTTATACAGTAAATTAGAATGTCCCTACTATAACTACTCGTAAAAATAAGTAAATAAATAAGTTAAAATAAATAGATAAATCTCTTAGGGGTTAATCTCTACTAGTTCTTGAAGGAGGTTCGGGAGGTAAACTACTCGCAACTTTCTTACTAATAGGAATCTGGATATTGGTCATTTTGATATGAAATGATTAATAGAAGAGTGAGTTACACTAATCCAGTAAGAATATCACACTAATTACTGATAAAAAAAAATCGAATGTTGATAAAAATCATAAAAAAAAAACTAATGGAAACTTTAATTTAAGTAAATTTATTTATCATAAAAAAACCGTTTATTCCATACTTATGAGTTTTTCAAAAATCAACCTATAAAAAATAATAAACAAATGATATTTTAATTTCATGTATAAGATAAGTAATTCTTCATGTTTAACCTATTTACTAGTTCCATTAG